TTCCTAGACCCACATAATTTGAAGTTTTACTGTAAGCTCAGCATAGTTAAATAGCTTAGTGGGGTCAAAGTTACTTTGGCTGGCACAAAGGCAAATTCCAGTTAATAGATGTAACCACAATAATAATTAAAACTTCACTGTGAAATTGACATTGTTTCCAAGGATTCAGGACGTTGATATCCTATTATTCTCTGATTTTACTTTTTTCTGTAGCCTCCAGGCTGCGGTTGTTCAAACGTTGGATAGTGCTATCCACAGGATAAAAATCTATCCAATGGATAGCACAATTGGTTTCCCCTATACTTATCCGCTGGATAGTGATTTATCCTGTGGATAGCGCTATCCAACGTTTGAACAACCGGGGCCAGGTGCCTAACATACAAATTCTACCAGATCAAAATAATAATTTTACTGTAAATAGCAACTTATTAAATGGTACATTTTCACGTTGTTGTTTTTTTCAGTTTGAAGTGCCTCATATGTACTTCTGAAATTTTATAAAAGGCATTTTGCCCATTTCTAGAAACCAGTCACCTGGCTAAATTATTTTGATAGAGAAGTTACCAAATTTACCTGAGGGTATTCAGGTGTAACAATATTGTGGTTCTCCCCAAGCAATGAAAAAAGGGTCTGTTTAATTCCAATTTTCTTAAAGCTTGTGGTTATTGAAGATCAAAGTCCTTTTTCAACACCAGTTATAAAAGATCTACATATAAATAACAAGACTGCAAGTGGAGACATTATGATTCCACAATGTTTTGACCTTGAGTAGCCATTTTTGGTAGGCAATAGAAAAAGTATTTAAAATATTCCTATAATTATTTCCATAATTTGCAAGGTTTTGTATCACTCTATAGGGCACCAGCCTTAAATTTTTTCGTCAAAGTGTCACCTGAATGCAGGATAATCAGATTCCACCTTGTTATAAAATCAACACACCAATTTTGCATGTTTAAATGCTACATGTAAACATAGCCCTATGAACTCTACCGCAAAGTCCAGAGTCCCAAATTATAACAACTACCCAATCAGAAAAAGAAATCTATGCAAGTGCCAAAGAAGTGAAACACATAGAATTCTTTCAAAGAGTATTTATTTAAATCTCACAGCAGTTTATCAGCTGGGACAAATAAGCGACTAAAATGCAAATAGATGTACGAGATAAATTCCTTACTAACACGGCATTTTTCCCCAAAACAAAACAAGCTAGCCATATTGTGCCCATTGGAAAACCGATGCCTTCTTGCCCTCCAACTAGCCTTGTTTAATCACTTCCTATTCGCCTATTGAATTCAATGTCAGACTGAAATCTCTGTGACACTAACCAACAGGGTAGATTGCACTTTCTAAATTTCAAGAAAAAAACATTATCGCTGATATCGATTTATAATTTATAATGACCAGAGTAGCTCTGCCTGTAAAAGCCATAGAAGCTTTGGATCGGTTTAGATGGCAACAACATTTTAACACAATTGCTCTCAATCAATAATATCCTCAAGTGATTTCAGCTACAATTGTGCCCATGCATCCCAAATAATTTGCGCTTCAAGCAATGCGGAGACACAAGACAACATTGAAGTTCATGGAGAGCCATTTCAAAACATGAAAATATGTTCGCACTTACTTCCACTAGGGCCAAAAAACTTCACAATAAATTCATTTAAACCACCAAGTATTGTCACTTCGTGCTTGCTTTCAATTCTGATGAGAATGCAGTCAAGGAATAACGAGATAGACACAGAAAAAAAAAAACAACAGGATATGTACAGAAAGCGCCATTATGGCTCGTGACTTTGCCAACCAAAGCACGACTAAGCAATAATCTGTACCAAGACTTCTACAAGGATACAGCTTTATGACATCCGTGTCCATTCGCCTCTTTCCTGGGGATGGAGAGGACATTCTGCTGCTCCCAGACTCGAAAACCTCACACCAATTTGCTCCTTCGATGCAGCAACAATGGACGACACACTAAACTTTCTGGTTTGGTTTGTTGACGTAACATTATTATTTTGATCACGTGAAAAATGGCCAAGCTCCGCCCCCAACAGAAAATGAAATAATGAAAATAAAACGAAAAGAAGATAAAGAAAAAAGGGAAACTATCAACTGATGAGAAACTCAAAGTAAACTTGTATTGTGTGAGAATGAAATGAGGAGTGGACTCCGAACAGCCAAGGAAATAAGAACAAGCAAAGCGCAACCCATATTATCGGCATTAGGGTGATACAGGAAAGCCGTGAACGCCGGATGACCACTGATATTATAGGGTTGCAGCAAAGAACAGCTGTTTCATTCTAGTAAGAGCGCATCAGCGCAGTGTAGCAGATCACAATCTTCTCGCTCTTAGTTCAATAATCATACAATAGCCTGTATACTAATCATGGTCTCTTGACGGCTCACCAAAACATGCAAATCACCGTTTCGTAAAGACAGGAGTTAAAGACCTTAGGATCTGCTCCTGGATCTGCAATATCTGGCACGACCCATGGTCGCCTCAAGTAGTCAGACCAGGCGTAACGTAAGAGTGTATGAGGAATAAAACAGGTAATTTTTATAAATAGATAGGTTAGGGAGGGGAGAGTAGGGTTAGTCTAGAGTACGAAGAGTACAATGGGGTGCAATAGAGAAGAATAGGGAAAGACAGATAGGTCAGGGCGGGTAAATTAGTAGCGTTGTGCATAGGGACGGGTAGGGTAGGGTGAGACGGGTAGGATCAGGAGCCGATTATTAGGAGCCTCCATATTTACTATAACCTTGAAGATAGCGTAAAATGATGGGAGAAAATGATAGGCTAGGGTGTGGCAGGTACAAAGTAAAGGCCCCGGTCACAGGTCACAGGTGCAGGTCACTGCTCTATAGATAAATAACTGCCGAGATAAGTAGTTTCCCCGGCTTTAAGCGAAAACTCTATTTCTGATTGTGATCAGGGGTAGGAGACATTTTTGGTGTTGTTTATTTACCATAGAATGATGACCTGTACAGTACTCTAAGCTGGGTGTGTGACCTGTTACCTGCATGGTATAAGTAGGGTGGAGTAAACAGGCGATTGTATTGTGAAGTTTATAAGATATAAGCCATAGACCAGACTCACTAGACCCTGATGAGAAAGATCCATAGAGGAAAAAATCCCAATCGAGATAAAAAAAGATTTTTTATTTAAACAACAAAATGTTCCAGTGCAACATATCTTAGTCGGCCATCAAACAAACTTTTAACAAACTGAACGTTAACCAAGAAGAACCAGTATTCTAAAAACATGGCAAACTAGAATTTGTTTTCCCAGTTTTGCAATACATTAGTCTTCCAACAATCGTTAGCATTTAGCAATTTTTCACTCCATCTTTTTCAGTAGCCTCAAAAAAAAAACCGGGAGATACACAAAGCACCAGGACTGTATGCAGTATTAACAAACCGTTCAATTTTTTACGCAAGCTTACAGCCTCATATCGTGCATCACTTTGAATGAAGAGGTGTACCCGTCTCTCCAAACAAATCCTCGTCTTTGATTAGATACTGACTTTGTAAAAATTTGTCGGCCACCGTGAGGTGTCGCACTGGAACATAAGCAGTAACTTTTATAAATTACAGGCATCTTCACCAAGAAGGTAATTATAAAACGTTTGTAAATGTTCTGTTAATGGAACTATTCTATATAAATTTAAGGCTAGTTTATCTCCTTAGAAACTTTCTAAAAACATCTTCGTATTTATACATATGAACGTCGTGTTTTTCATGACAGCGAAAAAATACGTGTAATAAGCTGTTACACCAAATCTGACAGTACTGTTTAGTAAAAAAAAATTTTGACACAATCTCCCTCTCCTGCCTGAACGTTAAAAAATCATCTGGACGTTAAAACAATTGTAGTTGAATGACTTCTTTCCCACATACACGAGGCCAAATGACCGATGATATCGTCTTTAGTTGTTTAATGATAAGTAAGAACTGCAGTTGAATGGTCGTGATACACTTCCTAGTGCCGTGACAATGGCAAAATAGATCATAATCGAGTGTCAATTCCTATGAAATCTCCCATTTTTGTCAAGTTTGAAATGGCAAATGAATTTGTTAACTTGTTTTTCGAAGAAATTTACCGTAAACCCCAATATAACGGACACGCAAAGTCTTCTCTTTTTCCATCAATACCTGTTGAAAGTTATTTTCTCAAACCCATACGTTCCCTGAAGGCTCATGATAAAGATTATTTATCTCCTTGTTATCATATATTCTTGCTGCGAAATATCTCTCTGCCGGATAACTCAATGAGATATATTAATTGCATTCAATGCAATTGTAGAAGTCTACGATCATGGTATCGCGTTAAGAACAACTCCAGTTATAGTTCCGAAGGAGTGAAATGACCTTTAAGACGCATGAAACACTTTCGAAGCTTATCCAAGAAAGAGGATAATGATCATTTGTCATGTGTTGATCCTTCAATGATCATGTGTTATGCTTAAATAGTTGTTAGGCTTGATTGCTAGATGCTCCGTTGTTACACTTGCTTAGCTGGAGAATAACAATCTCCAAGTAACTTTCTAACTGTTTTCCAAGCGTCTTGTGGAGGGGTCTAGAACGAATAAAAATAAAACAAGAAGAACGTGAACCCGATTATTTTTGGTCTAGTATTTGGATGACAGGCTTAACACGGAAAATACCGTCAAATCCCCTTTTTTAACCCTGGGTTTACAAAATGTCAAAAGGGGATTTTGGGTGGGGTCATAACCAAAACGCTTATAAACGGTATAAAAAAATCGTCTCGAATTAAGCTGCTCTGCATGCTAGTTCAATTTCGTGGTTGATTTCCACTCTTGCTGCAACAGGGTTTTTTTCTTGGAACTCCCATCCAGGGTGCAAAGAAAGTCAGTTTTACAGCTTGCCATTCGGGCAAGCTGTAGCTAGCATGTACTAGCCCGAAAGTCATTTCAATTAGCGCGAAAAAAATTTGATGAGCAGGATTGATTACAGTTCTTCTGTTATTCAAATGTCTAAAAAAATATCACTTGCCCATCGCGCAAGTTAAAAACAGGATTCACTAGCCCGATAGCAAAATCCACTAGCCCTGGGCTATCGGACACCACTTTCTTTGCACGCTGCTCCCATCTTCTCCTCACCTCAAAAACCAATATATCTTAATTCCAATTTGATCAGGAATTGTACATTAGACCAAGAATATGGGGATGAACTACCTCTAGAATCTACATCATCATCATCATCATCATTGAGGAAAAACTCTCACGTAACTCATACATTCGTTTAATGTACTGAACTGAACCAAATGCCGCTGAAATCACATGGTCAATAATTTTATACAAGATAGAAATCACTTTATCAAATATGCAACTATGCATGCAAATTCTATAAATAATAATAATCATCATCATCATCATCTGCATCATCACCACTGCCATCACCGTTGTCATCGCCATCATCATCATCAACCAAACAATACACAATTTTACAGTGAAGTTACCTCATGAATCAACTGAGTTGATGTTGGACTCATTGATGGCAGAAGTGTTCCCAGAAGAAGCCTCCAGCCAGCCGGTGACGTGGTCCCATCATTACTGGTCATACTAACAATCCAAGGACACCATGTGCGATGTTCACTTAAAACATGGAATGTACTCTTTTCTACCTCCTACAAAAAAGTATTGTCTGGTCAGAGAATTCAACAACATGTGCACAATACAAAAAGTACTGGTTATTTAAAACATGTTAACAAAATAAGACAGCGAATGTATTCCCATACCTGTAACCTTCGTCTCTTTGCTCTGGGTCCAAGATCTTCCCTCTCTAGGTTCCCTTCTCTAGCACAACCCATAAACTCCAGTTCAGAATCAAGATCTTGAAGTCTCTCGGACAAACTCTCATTTTCAACCTCCACACAGAGTGATTCTGTTGCCTCTTCACCGGGCAGATTTGAAAGCGAACGGTGTAGAGGTGACTTGAGGCCAAACGGCTCAAGTGGTTTATCAGTTAATTGATTAATATATTCTTTTTCTGTCAAAGTGTCCCCTGTAGAAGTTTTTTCAGATTTATCAGAGCTTTCACTTTCCTCCATTGGTTCTGACTGATCTCCATTGCCGCTATATTCAGTGGTATTTTCTTCAACATTGCTACCAGAACAAAAAGATGTTTCCTGGTCAGCTTTCCGTTGTCGGCTTCTCTCCTCATCATATATTTGCCCAGTATCAAGATAAGAGGGGCTCTCCTTATCAACAGCTTCTTCCTGTTCACTTGGAACATGTGTAAGAGGGAAAAAATTCCACAGACCCAGCTCACGACGACACAATGAACAAGATATGGTGTTTACTTCTGAATCACTCGCAGCACTGAAAATAAATGCACTAAATTTTATATTGCATCATTAAACCTTATTGTAACATTTAAAAAATCAACTTAACTAATGTAAAATACACAGTTGTCTGAGTTTTTGTTTTGCTTATTTTCACCTTTCCTTCGTCATTGTGGTTGTGCTGAGCTTGCTCGTGGTGTTACCACATAAAACAATTCTTGATTTGAGACAATTTTTTTTCCTGAAAAACTGACAATTTGATGGAAAACTAAATTGATGTCCACAGAGGCTTAGAGGTCCCGTAGACAGCAGTAAGTGAATTGATTTAAATATTACTGCAGTAATTCCAGAATACCTTCCTTGCCAGCCACACAGGGCAATGACACATGATGCCTTTGAAGCTTGCTCTAAGTCCAATTCATTCCTTGTCCAGCATATACTTCCAGGATCAACTAAATTCTGAAGGCCTTCAATATGCCCTGGTGACAAACAATCCTAAAGAGAATTTCAACCATTAACACTGCAATATCAACATCTGTGTTCTCTGCACCATTATCTATACATTTGCTACAGTGAACTCTATCTTAACAGACACCTCTATAAGATGGGCACCTCTGTAAAACGGACACCTAGAGTTAGTCCCTGCCTTTCTTTACTCCCCTTATTTGACTCTCTCTAAGACGGACTTCTCTCTAAGACAGACACATAGTACTGGTCCCAAAGGTGTCCATCTTAGGGAGAGTTGACTGAACTCTGTTTCTGAGAAGACTTTCGAATTAAGACATTTTCCATCGGTGATCTTTTTTTGGTTCTCATAACCAATTTTGCAACTGATGAAAGATAGAAATTAGATTTTGGTTTTGTCAGATCTAATGATTAGAAACCATAGCTTAATTTTTCTTTGGACTGCAACAGGGGCAATTTTCATACGGAAGTAACAATCAACGGTGACCAAAAACATGCACTGAATACAAATCTTTGCCACTGACCATGTCCTCTATTGCCTGTTCATCTATTAAAGGAATCTCATCTACTAGCGTAACTATAGATCTCCATCTTGCTCTGTAATCTTCTAGCCACTGACTGTAGCTGTACATGGGTAGTTTTAAAAATGATTCTGTTTAAAAAGAAACACATCATCATCATCATTATCATAATCATCCCTCACCCACAAGAGTAGACAGGACATTCTAGGAGATTTCTTCCCAAACACCAAGATTCAGCATCACTGCACTCAGTAGGCTGGATTTCCGCCATCTCCCGGGTCTGGTCTATGAGTGTGGGCTCATTTTCCTGAACAGCGGCTGGTAATCGAACCTATGCACTCAGCAGTATCAAGTTCTGAAACTCTAGGAATCACTTTGAGGTACATGAATGCTCTCTACCCACTGGGCACCATGGGATAAGAAATGAGATTATTTCTTTGTCTGCCCAATAAAAATGACCAGCAAACTGGAGATGCTCAAAGAAACACAATAATAATATTGGTTTTCCAAATGAATTGATGTGTCCATTCAAAGACTTAAAATCTGATATTTCAATTTATTGCAAGCCCATTTTCAAAGTGAGTTGATTGCCACTCTCCCAGATATTTCTTGTACCAATATGTAAAAAGGCCTGTAATGTCTCTTTGCCCTTCCCTCCCTTACAAACGAGGGTGGATGCACATGGAGGCAAGACTACACACAGAAGAAAAGAGTGATTCCATTCAAAATAGTATCAGTAACCCTGAGGGCTTCTCCATCTCTCCCTACCCCTGCCCCCACCACTGTGATATTCAGGGTGTCCTCTTTACTTGTAAAAAGTTGAGGTTACATACCAGGACTGGGATTGTCTGGCCACGGGCATAGTTTAGAATGTCCAGTGACGAGTGCCTCCTTTAACTGCTCACAAGTCTTTGAATCTGCAATTAAAATTAAAGGAGAAGGTAAATCTCTTGAAATTTTTGAATATATAATCCAGTATTAGTGCACCAGTCAATTCCATATACCTTGAACTTTTTTATTAACCCCTTAAGTCCCAATAGTGACCAACAGCAATTTTCTCCTAACGATATCCATACATTGTTATGAGATGAGGTCATGAGAATTAATAAAATGATCACCTAAGAGAAAATACCTTGATCTTTTATCAAATTCTCTTAACTAATTCTTAAAGGAAATGTATAGAGATCAGTTTGGAGAATTTGTGTGTGCAGTAAGCTGCTCTTCTGAGAATATGGATTAACCTACACGAGAAGGTTGTAGGTTGGATTTGACAGTCATTTTTCATGTTTTGTGCACAAATTGCGTATTCTGACATACTCACACATATCTGGATCCCACGTTGTTGATATCGTTGCATCAAGAGTTGCCTTGCACCGTACACATTGTAATATATCTACCTCACTATTCTCCCAGCCGTATTGTGCACAGAACAATGGAGACAATGCCAGTGGCTTTGCAAACCATGTAAATGGCTGAACTTAGTTAAGGAACAGTGCATTAGGACAAGAAAGCAAACTATAGTGAATTTGGTTTTAACTTTACATGTATATATTCTTCACAAACTGCCACAAGTGGTATCTGTAGGGATGAGAATATTTTAGCTTTTCATCCTAAACTAAGTGAGACCAAAAACTGCAACTTACACCAGCTAATTGGAGGATGAGCAACCCCTGTCACTTTAATTTGGGAGTTCTCCTACCCTTCCATCCTACTGGAATTCAATATTATACCAAAATATTATCTAAATATATTTTTAAAAGATAAAAAAGGATACAGTAAATGTTTCCACGCGACTCCAAAATGCTTCCTTGTTTCTTGGTTGGCTCCTACAGAATGACTCTAGATCTGATTCTTCTTGTTCAAGACTCCTAAGAGAATGGAAAGATAATAAGCAACAAATAAGATTTCCGGCTAGTTAAACTACGAAACTTTTATCAACGATTTGTACAAGGTGGTGGGTCTTGGTGAATTTGACAAGTAAAAAAACAGTGGCAATGATACCAGTGAATGATTCTTTTTTCACCTACCCCTTGGTTAAACATTAAACAGTTATTTTCCTTTTTGCTAGAGTATGGCAATGCATCTTACACGTTGGAAGACAAAGGTCAAATTGTAGGGCTATACAATTAAACTACAATACTACAGACGATTCTAGCATAAGTACCCAGACATCCTAACAATCTCATAGGAATCAAACCATCAACGTTTCACTTGTCACTTACAATTATTATGTCACTATATGTTTGAAGAGATGAATAGTTTAAACCATCTTAACTTAAAAACTTTTCAGGAAATTGCTTCGGCATCGATCGCGAACACCTGAAGGCTTATACGAAATAAACATCAATCTATATCGTCATGGTCAATTTCAGCTCATTTGAATACAAGCATGCTTCGAATAATTACATATGGTGAAGGACATCAGAAGCGACGTTGAGTATAATGGTAACGTCCATGCGCACGTTTAAGGAGTTAGTTTATACCTTTTTTCCTCTTCATTTTCAGATGAGTGAAGAAAACTCGACAACAGTGCACGTACTCGTCGCGGAGTTCCTTCCACAGCTGCCGCCATATTGTCTTCGTGTTGTCTCTGTCCCCAGGCCTTCTCAACCCTGGCTAGGCACCTGGCACGTTCTTGCTAAGCACGTCACGAGACGAGAGCCCACTAAGAGGGTATTTGTTCAATTTATTGAAACCTGGCCAGACTCTCTCGTTCAGCTACTTTCCTGTGTGACTTATCTGAGAGTAAATAACATTAGCGTATTGTGTGCCCCAACATGGTTTTGTTTTCTTTTTCTTTCTCCATCCCTCCCTCCCTTCTTTTCGATTCTTTTCCAACACTGTGCACTGTGAATACATTTTTTCTGCTTTTTGTTCTATTAGGTTCTTCAAGAACAACGCTGCTAAATCGAGGCCCTCTTAGGAGCCTTATACCATGAATGTTCTCGGTCTGAATTTCAAATATTTTTTATTTTTGAGTCAACGCCATGTCACTGTCCGTGTTTAACTCATCTTGATCTCATTTGTTACCATTTCATCTAGTCTTTTGTCCCTGTTTCAAAGCCATGTCTACCCTAACGAGACCTCAACATCGCCCTAGCATGGGAGCAGAAAAGTCAGTCTTCTGCAGTTTTTTTATCCTTCCAAAGAAGACACCTAATCGCACCACTTTGTCATTTACAACTCCCAAAGATTTAACAAAGTAATTAGAGAATCCCTTTTAAGCGCCAGCGTTAATTATCTTATTTCAGGGTCAGTGTTCTTCTCCCCTTCCTCTTCAGTAAATAGTATGCCCTGCTCTCAGTGGGGGTATAGTATTGTAACAATTGAAATAGGAGTCTTTTTTCAGATAAGATGTTGTTATGTGAAGGCATTAGGTGTTGTGAATGATAACGCATTAGTTTATGCCGATTTTCTAGTATTTGTTTTTCGAGAAATCTTGAACAGGGTCCAAAAAAGGTGTGGTTTTATTGGTATCTCAAAACATCAGCTTACATTTCCAGCTTGGGGCCAGGCCTTTTGTATTTATCTTAGGATTTATTAAACTTGTTAGTTATCTGAAAAATAAGAGACAGAATATAGAAGATCATGGAAACAAGGGACGTTTCGTCAAAAGGGTATTGTTTCATGGGAACCTTATATATGGTACATGGTTATTGGCATTGAAATAAGACGTTCGAGATAGATCGTCTTTTTTAGTTTTGTTTAGCGAGCGCAACAAAAATTCATCTTAAAATGGTCTCCCTCGATCCCCTTTTTATCTAAACAATTCAAAACACAGTTATTGTTTTGTAAATAATGAGTCTCAAGACGAAAAACGCCACAGTTCTTCAAGATAAGCAAGTAAATGTTTACTTAACCACAAAAGAAATGAGAATTAATATGGAAATTTTACGCTAGCAGGCCATATCTACTTTGCACTTTTGCTGCACGGTCCGAGAACTTCGCGATGAAAGGAAAAGCAATTATCACGTTTTTTATTCTTGTCAGTTTTGTCCTGGGATGCTTGGCGGACCCCAAAAAGGTGGGATAAAGGTTTTCATTTCTTTTAATGCATTCCAAATGGCCATGTATTTCTCTGGTATCTTTTAATTGAATTTGAGCCGTGGCAAAAAAACAGCTGTGATGTGAAATAACGAAAAATGTTGATAGTTGAAAATATCCAGGTAAGCATGTCTGTCGTAAAAGAAACATAAAACGATCCATATATACTAAAATACACACTGTCATGTAATATCTATTAGGTTGGGTGATCCCTTTTGCGAGACTTATTTGAGTGAAACTTATTATGAGTCGGGGAATTCCATATGGGCGCACCAATGAAAGAACTTTGGAAATGTTGCAAGACCAACCAGCGTATGAAAAAATATAAAATTTGCACTGAAATACATCGTTGAGTTTCGTAGATTTGAATGCTACAGTGTGCAATTTTATCCGGTCTTAAAAAGGGTTAACTGAGCCACCGCACAAGGCTAAAATATACCCAATGCATTTAGTTAGGGAAAACTTCGATGATGACGTATCTTACAAGGAGGTGTCCCCACAGGGGTACTGCTCATAGCGAACCATCACCTCTCTCCACCCACCACCCACCAACACACACTTTTAGTCGCAATGAGGCCTGACGTCATTTCCCTCTCTCCTCCGCAGAGGTTTAATGGAAAATCATTAAATATCAATGACCAAGACCAGGTTTTATGAGCCCGCGAGACTGAGCACGCCGCCAAAACTCTTGTTTTCACTAAAACCGCTGGACGCCAACCTGGTTGAAGTCATTGTTATCTAAGGTCTTCCGGTTCAATGAGACGTTATTGGATTTCCGCTGCGCAAAATGAGTGCAAACCGAAAGATTCCTTATTTCCGTCTTGACTTTTACTCTTGACAGGAAGTGAAGGGGAGCATTGCTCGGGATGGAGAACACCATCATCAGTTTCCCTGTATTCCGAGCGGGCATCCCTGTAATGATTGGCCGGAACGCCGAAACCGCGGTGAGAAGAAACTTCGCTGCTGCAGCCGCCGTAGATGCTACAATCCAGATCGCTTTGGAGGGAGGTAGGCAATACTTCGAATCGACAGAAGAAATGAAAACAGAATATTGATATAAAGACTGAAATAAATTGATCAAATTTATACTCTTTCTTATCATTAGTTTTTCCCATCCTCTATTAGTTGTAATCAATATCATCATCATCATCATGATTGATTCGAAGTCGACGTCATCATCGTCATCGTTGTCATCATCACATCGTCGTCGTCAGTATCATTTTTATCCGAGTACGCAACAGGACGGGAGGGGAGAGATGGCGGCAAACTTTGTGCGACACTCGTGACAATAATTTCGTTTGAAATAACTTTTCGCCAAACTTCCACTTTCCTTTAAACAGATCTTTTTGTAAAAGACCAGAAAACTTTCAGTGCTAAGTGAAGATCACAACATAACACGCAAGAAGCTCCGTCATGTTTGCTTCCTGTTGTCCTGTTACGTTACTCACTGATATCATCATTAGATGAGCATTATCATCATCTTGATCGTCTTTTTCCGCCCTGTTGGTTTCCCCGCTCATCGGGTTTAATAACAAAGTTTACCCCAGAGATCTGCAATTAATTAATCAATCAATCAATCAATCAGTCAATCAAAATTGTCTCCTACAAGAACCTTTAATTTTTTTGAGCTGAGGTGGCTGCTTCGTCTGCTTCTTCTTATCGCCTTTACGTCCCATAGCTCATGTAGAATTGTCTGGATTGACAAGTGTACTTTCTTATGCAGGTCTACAACTGGCACATGCCCTTGAGATCTAGACTGAACAAAGCAAAATGTTGGAACTGATAAACAAAGGACTGGAAAAGGAAATGTCTCGGGAACAAAATAATTTTACGCTGCACTTTGATTGGATTTGATTTGTGAAAAGCTTATTCTTTAGGTTAAAATTGTGCTTTGATCATATAAACAATAATCAATAAAACTTTTATTTTTTCATTTGAAACGTTTCATTGTTGATAATACCCTTTCCGACATCTTAGTAGCTCGACAGACCCTTCCACGGTTTTTTCAACTTTTGACATGGACCAGGCAGGAAAAATCGGTCAATTTCGCTGGAAAGATTAGTAAACTTGCCAAGTTTTGAGAGTGATATGACGTTTGTGTCTGTAAAATTTCGCTATATCTTCGTTAATTTTCAACAAATCTCTTCCAGCTCGGCAATGTTATTAATTCAAAGGCGCTCTTTTTCCCTAGCTTGTCTACGTCAAATGAAAATTTTGGATCGTAAGGTATCACTCCCGCCTGCCCTCCCGCCTGCCCCTGCCCCAACCCGATTTTTCTTGAAGGCTTGGTTGCAACTGCTGGCTTGGCTACTAAGACATCCGATAACGTAAAAGTAAATTTCTTTCAATTACGTGTACATTTCACCTTCGTGATCATCATGGGATAAATTAATTGTTAATTTTCAGCGCTTTGATCAAGGTCCGGACGTGTTTATGACTTCTGACACCCTTATGACTTCTCTTCCACTAAATGGCCTTTTACAGTTTGGGGTAAATTTGGAGATTGCTGCTAAAAATTCGTCCGTGAGGAAACGGGTGAATAGGGAGTCTTCGAAAAGAATCGACGGTGCTGGTGAAAGTTACGGGACAGAGATGGTTCCCAAAATTGCAGTCGTTCCAAACGACTTAAGGGACTTGGATGATGATGAAACTGGAGAGAAACAGCTGTCAAAAACATGGACCGAGGAAGAAAACGAATATCTATTAAGCGACCGCGAAAATATAGATGAAATCAATCATGGCGGTCATCATGAAACGACAAAGAACGGTTCACAATTACATGTGGCGAACGGTGATTTAACGTATGACGAAAGCTCTGATCAGTTTGTCCCATTATTAAAAGAGCACAGACATAATGAATTTGACACTGAAATTACAGGACTGGGTGATAGTTCTTTAAACGAAGGATCTTTTACTATCGGACTTCAAGTTTTCTTTCCATTTCTAATCGCCGGATTCGGAACCGTGTCAGCCGGTATACTCCTTGATGTAGTCCAGGTGAGCAGGAGACAAAGGAATGTTTAGGTCCAGTTCCATCGTCAAACTTTTCATGTACTGAACCTAATTCTTTCAATTAAGTACATGAAGAGATCAACGTTAGAATGAGTTGACTCCATTATGTCTGATTTGGGTCAACCCATTAATTAAGATCAAGTGGCCCACATGGGAATTTCAACTGTGGAGCGACTTTGTTTCAAACATCGAACTTATCATGTTCAAACCTAATACATAAATAATTCTAAAATTTAGTTTCTCTTGTACTTGTAAGGGTTTTAGATCATTGAACATCGTGAAAATGAATTGACTCTGACTAATCAAGTTCGATGTCTGAATCAGCTGTCCACTTTGTATCATATGGGTTGACCCAAATAGTTGTTTAGTTCAGTACATGAAAAGATCGACGTTTGAACAGGACCTAAGTTGTCATGAATCAAGGAAACTGATAATGTGTTGTCTTCTAGTAAATTACACCATGTGTGTAAAAGTATGATTATGGGAGACCAGGTCCCACTAACTACCATGCATTAGCATGGTATCCAAGGATGAATCTAAGTTTAAGCAAAGCAGGCTTTTTTATTAGTCAAGTGGGCTGCTGCTCAAGTGCACCTTCGAAATTACGCCATGTCTTTGTTATCTGGAAAATTTGAGCCAGTGACATGGTAGCCTGAGCTGAACCTGCTCTTAGTGACATCCCTAAGTATCACAGATTTCTGCACTGTAGCAGAGATGCCAACCTCTGGAAATCTAAACTTCCCCCCCCCCCCCCCCCCCCCCCCCATTACAACCACCAACCCCCCCAAAACAACCATCCCACCCCCCCCTTATTTTTTAAAAGGGACAGGGCTTGGGACTTTTTTAAACCCCCCCCCCCCCCCACGCCTCCCCACATATCAACGACCAACCCCCGATAAGCACAATTCCATCCAGTCTCTAATTTATCACATGGGAATGGCTTAGGACATTTTGAAGTCTTACATGAGGTACAGACCATTATTCCCTTATATGATTGTAATGGCAAAATAATCTTTGTCAGTGCAAACATGCCCCAGAAACTGAACTATGAATCATAGAAAATTGGAATTTTAAGAGACAATGGGATAAATTTCAAATTACGTACAGAAAGTAAGCTCTTAACTCGATTATATAAGGGAGATTTGGTGATCTGTTCGGGAGACCGAGAGATTATTGTGTCATATCCAGGAGACTCCCAGATAATCTGGGAGAGTTGGGATGTATGCTGTAGGTGGTTTAGGAAACAAAGCGGTTGCATGAAAAATTCCTGGTGAACACAGGAAACCGTCTGGGGAGGGGGGATTTGATAGTCTATTACTGGCCAAAATGTAATATTTGTTAGTTGCATTTTTTTTAGCACTGGCAAGTTTATAAAGACATATCAGAAATTTTTATTTTGGTTCCTGCTCTACTTGGATTAAAAGGAAATCTTGAAATGACATTAGCTTCAAGATTGTCTACTGCAGTAAGTGAATGCATTCTGTAATTTATTAATTTGACAATGACATCATTATTAATGAACTGTAAGCATATTACACTGAACAATTTTCCCTTCCGTACCGGAAACAGTATGACAAGCAGATGATAATGTTGTAGTGGAAGGTTGAACAAGAAAATTTCCTAAGGAGCAGCTTCTAAATAATATTATCAGAAACTATGTGAAACAAAATATTGTCCATCCTATCCCTCTAGAAATCCACTTTAACTTCTTGAAGTGCAAGGGTGTTTTAAGTCTGAAGCCACCCCCATTGTCCTACACAATCAAAAATATTGTTGCTAATGTGTGAAAGTGTTACTGCTTTATTTATATGCAAGCTTTTGGAAAAACTGTGCTTGTATGTATTTGTTACCTTAATATTAGGGAGCTTAAGGAACCATGATGGTGACGTTAATAACAGCAAAAAAGCAACACCCAGTTGGTTTAGATTGGCAAAACAACAACTTTGCACGTGCATCATGCTATCTGAGCATTTCTTTGCTGTCATTGCATGACTATGATGAAGAGTCTGAATTTAAATGGGTAAATTCCTCTTAGGTTTGGATGTGTTTTTGCGTTTTTAGGCCAATGTTGGACACATGGATTGTGCTAAATCACAGTGGAAATTAATAGGAGGAAATCTTGCATTACTTCAGGTAATAGCATGAGATCAAAGTGTTCAAAGAAAACAATGTGCCGTATCACAGTCTTGAAAGCTTTATCCTAGGTTTTGAATTATGTTGAAGTTCAGGGGGATTGACATCATGTAGCAGCCACCTTTCTTTGATTTAAATGTAAATTGTGGAGTTTAATAAACATAATGTTTGAAAAAAAAGAGGATTTCCAAGTAGTGAAAACCCACTTTCTTAGATATAAGAAGCGGTGTTATAGAGTTAGCAGTAATAGTCCTTAGTTGTGATGCTGACTGTCAAATGCAACAATGTANAATTGTGGAGTTTACTGCGCTTTTCACAAACATGCGAACTCTAAAGTTCAAAAGCCACCTTCACAATTGCGTTTTTCACTGCCGTCAATCATAATTACGATCAAAAGCAACAAACCTTGAAACACAGAAACACACAAAATGGATCGAAATCCACCAATCACAAATCACAAACCATGACCTTTTGAACCCGTTAAAGTAAAGTTTTGTTTCCTAAGAGGTCCGTTAAGATGATTGACAGCAGCAAAAAACGCAATCATCAGTTGGCTTTTGAACTTCAGAATTTGCATGTTTGTGAAAAGCGCAGTTATGAACATAATGTTTGAAAAAGGGGGATTTCCAAGTAATGAAAACCCACTTTCTTAGGTATAAGAAGAGATGTTATAAAGTTACCAGTGATAGTCCTTAGTTGTGATGCTGACTGTCAAAAGCAACAATGTAGTAAGACTGTGCAATCACTAATTACATGTATTAGCGATTGCATGGGTTTACTACATTGTTGCCTAAAACATGTTTTGTTTTATTAAAGTTTTTTATTTCTCTCTTTTTCTGTGACTATTAATAACTATGAACTAATTTTTTGGCCTCTCAGGTAAACAAAACCATTTTTAAAAGGATTGAACAGTTTGTGTAAAATAGTTACATTTATCTGACCCAGGGGAGGGGCCCTCATCTTATTTTTAAGCTTAAGTGAAGCCAAAAGGGTTGAGGATATTATTTTTAAGGGCTTAGATCGGCATCCCTCCACTTACTTGAAGATCTGAATCAGACCCTGTTTATTGATAACTAGGTGCAAGCGACTGTAGTTGGTTCCTTGGCAGCATTCGCAGCTGTTATCATGGGCTGGATTCTGGATGGAGAATTCAAGATTCATCATGCCACCCTACTCTGTGCAAGTAGCTTAGTTACAGCGACACTAGCCAGCCTCATTCTTGGTTCTGTGATGGCTGCAGTGGTTGTGTTTTCTAGGAAGTGCAACATCAATCCAGATAATGTAGCCACGCCCATTGCGGCCAGTCTTGGAGACCTCATAACCCTGGCGCTGTTGTCTGCTATTAGTAGATTTCTACATAGTTGTCTTGGTAAGTTTGAAATAAAGAGAGTACCATCATTTTATCATCATGAGAACTGCCTGTGAGTTTGTAATGCATTTTACCAAAACAATAATACCGTAATACCATGAACTTCACCCCGACATAGCTTGTTTTCTGAAGTACGTGAAGGGCTTTTGTCCACTAAGGAAGTCCACATGGAGGACAATAGGGGAGTATTACCTATTTGATTTCATCAGTCCTTGTCCTTTACAGTTGGTCTTAAAGGTAAACAATGCAGTGACAATGGTGAACTCATTTAAATACACCTGGTTGGATCAGGGAGAAAATTTGCTGTACATTTTCTCTTACAGGAAAAAATAGTAATAAATTATTGCATTGCGGTTTACAAACTAAAAGGCATTGTTGATATTGTTTTTTTCAAACTTGTTACAAGTTTAATGTTTCCGTTTGCTGTAGACACCGAGGGTGGTACTCACCACTGGATTGCACCTGTCATCAGCTTGGGTTTCTTCATCATTCTACCACTATGGGTGTATATCACTCACAACAATGCCTTCACTCACAGTGTATTATATACTGGATGGAGCCCAGTGCTCAGTGCCATGATTATCAGTAGGTAAGTCAAATTATCAGTTGTTAGTCAAATTGTCATTCTCTCATAGTAAGTTTTGCTTGATCTCTTCAATAAGTCGTTTGTACGGCGCTGGTAACTGTAGAATACGTTATACATGTCACAGAGTCCCAGTCAATTTGATGTTTCATCTTTAAATGGTGCTCAGCTATGTGATTGTTGACGTCACCATTCTTTGTAGCTTGTTTGTGTTCGGTCAGTCGCCATCAACTGACGTTATACAACTCACTTTGACTCTGAAGATGACTACCGCACAGGTTGTCAAAACGTCAGTCACTGTCAACAACAACAGTCCTATTCAGGACTATGTTCACCCGGACAATCAAACTCAACCTACTTTTGAAATGACTCCTGGGTTCAAACCTTTCACAGTCAAATATGTGAGTTATAAATTTAGATTTTTGATCTCTGTCCAGTTCAGACACCAAAGACTAAATATGTTGTAACGGATGATCCAAGACTTCTTTAAGTGCCCCACTACTTCTCTCCTTTTTTAAGCAACTGGATTATACTTCATAACAACCTTCTTGTCAAAGTTTTTTAATTAGTCTGAGGTATTGCTAGATCATTTTAGCCTTCTAAGATGTAGTCAACCATGCAGTAGTTTTTGTCTCGTTCGTCGAGCTTAGCATGATGAGAAAAAAAATGGCAACGTGCTATTTACGATGCATAGTTTTCTGTTCAAGCCCTTGGAAGTTCAATCCACACCCTCTCCTCTCTACCTACCCCTCCCTGCTTGTTTGCCTCTTCGAAATACACCTATCTACCCCTCAGAAAGTCTGGGAACCTTTGCTGAGAACACAGAAGCTGCAGTTTAGTTTCATTTGCTTGTGGTGTTGTTTTCAGTACTGGTGGTCTAATTCTTGACTTTGCTGTGGACAAATATCATGGAATAGCTGTGTTCAGTCCAGTAATAAATGGTGTTGGTGGGAACCTTGTAGCTGTCCAAGCAAGTCGTCTCTCCACAGGGCTGCACCAGCTCGGCAAACCTGGTGAGGTGCAGGAGAAGAGCAAATTCCATGGCTGTATTGACACATTTTTTGGATCAGGTATGTGGATTAACCAAAGCAGGGATTCTTAAAGTTAAGCTTCAACTGCAGTACTTTCTCATGGTACCCTTAACTTAGTTTGTAGTTCTAACTTTTCAATCTGAGGTTGAAATCCTACGGTGTGACCATTTAAATGAAACCTCTCTAGCAGTACTTTCTCATGGTTCCCTTAATTTAGTTTGTATTTCCTGCTTTTGAGTTTCTGGACTTAATCTAATCCTTTCCCTTTTGTTTTATCGCAGGACTACATGCTCGAACAACCAGAGTGTTGCTATTTATGGTTATTCCTGGTAACTTGATATTTCTGTACACAATCCGTGTTCTGCAGGCAGGACATACTACACTCACACTCCTGTTTACTTCAGTCTACTTACTTGCTGGCTTGATTCAGGTACATTTCTATTTTTATTGGCTCAGATCTTCAATAGTTTGCTCTGATCAACAGTGAAGGCGCTATATTTCTTCATTTCCTACCTACCGTATGCATGGCACGTGCGGCTCGTGCCAAAAAAGGAAACGTGAATTGGACTCGTCCTGAATACGATGCTAAACGAGTATTTTGTAGGGGGTGAGGTCAGGGAATTTTTAAGTAAGGGAAAATCTTAGCTCTTGGCTCAGTCCGTGAAATGTCAGGCAATTTCATTATCATGTTCTTAAAGGGTTTTGTGAAGACTATAAAAAGACATTATTTTATTATCATCATCAGCATGCGCTCAATTTCGTACTTCAAATCCGGCCAAAAAGTCTAGATTCTGTGCAGAACGTCAAAAGTTCAAAAATAAGGAATGAAATATAAATGACCAGCAAAAATAGCCGAGGAGAAAAAGTAACGCAAGGTTAGTAAACACCATTTATAGCCCGGAGAATTGTTTGCATACCAACTAGTAGCCTGTGATTGCAGACCTATTTCCGGTCGTCGCTTCTCTCCACCGGAAATAGATCCGCGTTCGTTAGCTAAGAAACGAACGGCAACCCTGTGAAATGTTGTAAAATAACTGACACAAAACAATGCACGTGGTAACCAAGGCTTTACTTTGCACGTGCAGGTTGCTATACTGCTGCTGACTGCTAATTGGTTGGTTCACTGGATGTGGAAACGAGGCAAAGATCCCGACAACTACTGCATTCCGTACCTGACAGCGCTGGGTGACTTCCTCGGCACCGGTCTCCTGGCCGTGTCTTTCCATCTTTTATGGCTCATAGGGGATCGAGATGCTGACGTTGGAGATTAATAATTTAATGATAAATTAAATGAATAAATACTTGAGACCATGTTCATCCTATCACAGAGATTATAAAGGAGCTGATGCGACCATAGCGATATCAAGCCAGTCAAAGGAGTTCGCGTTCTTTTTAAGCTTTTAGTCAGCGCTACATGCTTCCTTCACTCTGTTAACAGTAAGCATAGATGGACTTATATTTTTGTACATAAAACTACTAATTCTTAGCCTTTTCCAAGCGTTCAGATCTTGGGAACAGCTTTTACGGCTCAAGAAATACTGAAGAAATCCAGTCCCATAATTTTCATGTCAGAGACATAAAGATTAACTTATAAACGTATTTATGTTTTACGAACTGCACATCAGTGAATGTACAGGAAACACATCGTCGTCATCATCATCATCATCATCATCACCCGCAACATCCTCTCATCCTCCTCCTCCTCCCTTTTTTTTATCATCGTCATTTTCATCTTCATCGTCATCATTATCATCATCTTTATCAAAATCATCATCATCATCTTCACTAATGTTATTGTCAGAATATAACAATGGCGTTATTTATATCAATTTGGCATGCAGTATCAGTACAAAACAAAAAAAATCATCATCTTAATTTTGTCAAGTTCTAAGATGTTGACAGTTCTTCTTGTTGTTTTATTCATAGTCACACTGTGTGACTGGAAAGTACCGTTCAGTAGCTTCTGTTTGAATGGTTACACTTAAAGATTTCCTCCACAGACGGACTTGAGTAGCGGGTCCACTGTGTGCAGGACATTGTCACAGGAAATGAAGTAATGCTTAATTTAATGCCTTTCATATGAATGTTCATGCTGTTGGATTCCGTCCACAGACTTAAAATTTAATATAAGTTCCTATAACAAGCTAAATGAAATTATGATTTTACATAGAGTAATCATATATTTGGATAATAAATTATATTATGCAACCGCCAGTGCGTTGAACATACCTTTTTTCAGATGTGGGCTGGAGTGTTTTAGGTTTCAACCAAGAATACTCCCAAAACAGTGTAAGTGTAGTAACAGACGTGGTTTTAATAAAACATTGTACTAAGTATCCTGTTCTCACAAACTTTGACAGTCAGTATATTAATTAAAAAATACCTTTTAACTTTTTTTTAAGACATGGGCATGGGATTAAATTGAACGTGTCAGGATTGTCTAAACAAGACCCGACCATTTACGAACGTGCTCAAAGTTTCCGAAGAGTTCCAAAGAACCTAGAAAACGTATTCTTTTACATTAGCCCTCACACTTCTCCGTGAGCTTAAGCTGAGTTATTCATGCACTTTTTCAGGGTGAGAGGTAACTCGGCTTTGTACAGCTCTGCCTCGTGAGCTCGTCCCGGACTTAAAAAAGAAAGCTGCGAAATTTTACAGTCCAAACCGCACGCATAAGAGTGTATTTCTGTTCATGGGCCCTTCATTTATCTAAAACTTTCGCAGGACAGAAAACTCTTCTTAGTATTATCAGCTCAAGACAACAAAGATGACTGACAAAAGTCCAATCTTCAAAAGGAGTGAAGAAAACATGACATTTTTATTAGCGGTAAAACGTTTTCCACATTGGTTCCTCTCTTGAAAGAATCAAAGATTTTTGATTGGAGAGAACGGTGGTTCACTTGTAAATTCTAATCTAGGAATTCATACCGGCACAAACCTACACGAACCTGGCAAAATTGTTTGAAACTTGGCCATTGGTACAAAGCACTTCCTTGTGTCCATGTAACATAAACATTAATTATTCTTCGTGTAATAGGAAAAACTAGCCATAAAACTACTACATATATTACACTGAATTTACACCCTGGCTTTTCATAAACTGGGGCAACTCGATTATTTATCCATAAGAGACCACTGTGCGCATGATTACACAATAACACGTATCCCGCACGCTTGACTTTTCGTGAGATTAAAAAGGGATAAATTCTCGTAGCATTTGGAGCAATTAATTGAGGTGTCAAGCGATCCTTATTGGCCGTTAAACTTTAGTATCTGCACGCTTCTGGACAAGATACTCTCCTCTCCACACGTGGCTACAATTTGTCTGTCTTTAGTAAGTGCAATGTCCCTCGCTCCTGATACCGTTTTCATTGAAGACACTTGACTTCCGTCTGGGCGGAGTACACGTATCTCGCGCGGGATCCCGTGGTAAGCTAACAAAGTGTTGTTAGATAGGTCAAAAGTAATTTTGATTGGATACACGATGTCAATACCCATGTTGTCTCTCTGCCCTAGGGAGTATTTGTCCTCGTCGAAGGAAGTTTCAAACGCGCCTTCAGCATCAAATACTTTAATCATGGTGATGTTTTTCTTGCTATCGGAATCAGAGACGAAAAACTTTCCATTGTAGAAGATAGCTTTCTCAGGGCTTACAAGTTGATCTTCGCCCAATTCCATCTCAAGGCTGTACTCTTTGCCATCTTTACTGTAAACTTGAATGCAAGGACGCAAGCCATTACATGCAACAAGGATCCGTTCGTCAGCGTCTACAAATATGCTGCTAAAACTGAGATCATCATCATCATCAACTTCGGCCAGGCAGCGGATGAATTTACCAGAGATATCGAACAATTGTATGCTTTGCGGGCCATCTAGTGGCCCATCCGATACCACAATGTTATTGTTGGGGAGGAAAAATATCCCATCGGGGCATTCCATTGTAACATCTCCGTCCTGGCCAACCTTAAGGAAGTAAAAAATTAATAAATATTATGGGATATGGTCATCATCCAGAGTGCTGCGTTATTATTATTATTATTATTATTATTATTATTATTATTAGACGAATAAAAGTGGTGATGGTGGTAATGACGTTGATGATAACGATGATGATGATGAGTAGGATGGTGACGACGATGGGAGTCCATCCAATAGGCTTCTGACGATAATGATGACGACAAGAACATGCAATGAGTGTGATGATTATGAGGATGATATTAAAGATGACATGTACGATGACAATGACCGACTTGCACCAATTTGAGACACATAGCAACAAGGTTGAAAAATGACGCATAATTCCAGACGAGGTACGGTGGACATAACTAACCTGACAATTAAAAGAGCCATCAGGATTAAACAGCCAAACGCATTCATTGCCATAATCCGTGACTGCCAAATGACCATCAGCATTCGATGCAACAGCGCCTGGGTTAAAGAAACTCTTGAACTGTAGTGGTACCTTAAGCGAGCGAATGACTTCCGCTGCGTCCCTGTAAGACACGTTGGGGGCAGTGTTTTTAATTGACGCAATGGGGGTAATACCCGAGGTATTTAGATCACTCAGTAGGGTGGGGGCCTTGCGATTTCCTTGAATAGTTGCCAGTCCCTCCTCTTTGATGCTCTGTATGATCTTGCGACTCGGAGTAAGATCTAGTAAAAATATCGCTGGAGGTTTCTTGTCACCGTTCTCTGCTCCCCCATTCATTAAACTTCGTTTCTCTCTTTCAATCGCTTCATCGATCTTTTTAAACAGCTCCTTTTCCTTCTCCTCCAGTAGTTTTCTCAGCTTTTCTGTCATCTCCTGTGCTTGCTTTTTCATTCGCTGTTCTTGTTCCTCAAGGGGAGGAGGCGAATCCTCGTCTGTATTCTTCGATTTCCTCCGCTCTGATCGCTCGGACGTCGCTTTGCGTTCTCTTGGCTTTCGTTCTGTGCGTTCTTTCTTTATTTGGCCGCTTTTCGCTTCCACTAAACGCAGAATACGGTAGTCGGTTGGAAGCATAGCTATCCCACCCATAGGCAGAGGTAATTCTTGCTTGTCGATCGGACAAAATATCTTGAGAGCATTCTTAGGTGCAATATCAGACAGACAACTCTGGCAGATTGTATGCAAGCACGGAAGCTGTTTTGGCTCTTCCATATATTCTTCATTACAAACTGGACATGATGTACTGTCACTGGATGGGAGGCTGTCCCTCTTTGCCTTCTGGAAAAAAGCCATGGTAACAAAATCACTTTCGGTCCGCTTTGAACAGAACAAGTTACTGTCGAAGAAACTCGAACGAAAATGCGAGACTGCAATGACACAAAGTTCTGCAGTCTTATCGAATCGAGAAGAATTGTTTAGAATCATTGAAAACATTTCTTATCTGACTGCGCCGTCCAATCACAGTCAACCTATTCCTTGTGTTTTTGTTCAAAAATTAGATTAACATCTATCATGATCTATGTGTTCTGGGCTCGAAAACCAAGAGCAAAGAAACGAAAAATTATCCATTCACAAGTGTCGTAAAACTATTTAATGTTTTTGAAGGTTTGCTTCCATTCTTCGGTGCGAAAGTGAATAAAAAAGCAAACAGAACTACTAAAAACGATTCACTGCAATCGTGGCGAATTTCACTGGCTGTGACTTGCAATCAGTCACGGATAAAAACAGAAAACATTTTAATGACTTCCTGTGCATTTTTTGATCAAACTTCCTTTTCAATTATCGTTATCTATAAGCCAAAGCACACATTCCATAAATAAGGTAAGTTTTAGTTGAAGTCCAATCATCTTTGCCAAAAGATGAGCGGACTTCATACTTATGGTCAAGCCCCACTGGACGATCGACCACTCCGGTCTTTGATATTCCGTGGAAATTTTTGTTAAAAAAACAATCTTTAAAAATTTCCTCCGGATTCCTATAAACGCCTCCGGTCAGATATCTGACTGCTACAGTGGTGGGAGTATCTCCCCTCCCCTCCACAGTGTCTTCTTCCCCAACCCTCCCTCCCATCGCTCCTTGCGTGACAAAAAAACAGGAAAGGCTTGGTTACCTATATAAATGAAGGAAGAAAGTCCTCCGATCAAACGGGAATCTTCACAGCTGTCTTCAGCTGTTCCTTCACCAACAGAGAAAATTAGGAAAGTGGAAAGAAGCACTTTTTTAAGCATGGTACATATAGTCGCTGTGGGTCTCCCTTTATTGGTGATATGGTTTGCCCAACCTGGAACAAGTAAGTGATCTTTACGTCGTTCATGTTTGTTTTTCATGTAAAATCTTATTAGCTGAAAGAGGCTAAACGCTTTTTTACATGTAGAAACCTTTCACTAAAGTCGCCCTTTTGAAAGAAGTCAGTCTAAAAGATTAAGAAAATTGTTTAGTACTAATCTAAAGATTTTTCTTAAATTTTTAGCTAACTTAAACAAAATACCCGTACGATCAAACTCAACCTACTTTTGAAATGACTCCTGGGTTCAAACCTTTCTCAGTTTTAAACAAAATATTAGTGCAAGTAAATAGATTCCCTATGATTAGAGGTGAGAGTCTAAAAAATCCATGAACCAAAATTAAAGTTCAATTATTTTACCTCATCCTTTTTTACCAGTGTACTATATACATAAACAAAGTACTTGAAAATTTGGTTCTCTTTGCTCTGTTGGTGAGGAATTTGGTTTCATCATGGGAGTTGAGAATGTAAACTGAGTAACTTAATAAAGTGATTTAAAAGCTGACCTCAGACAACGTGCTATCACCAAAAACATCAGCTTTTAGATCTCTGTACAGACCACAAATAATATAATACTCCCCCAAAATCCTAAACTTGTGAATTTTGGTAGACTTTCCCTTTGAATCCAGAGTATTCTCTTGTCTCCACTGGCAACATGAAACAAAACTGAATAAATTTTTCAAACCATACATCTTGTGATTTTCTTGTGTTTTTGAAATTTGTTTTGTTCTTCGTCATGATCCATTTAGGTCTGTTTTCGTGGCATCCTACCCTTATGGCGTTGAGTGTGAGTATGTTGGACATTAATGTATATTTTGTTAGATTCCAAGAGTAAATAAATCAAAATTCAGGGGAAAAACATCTGTAAATACTGAAGGATGAATCTTGCACCAAGTGAAGAAATAATAGGATCAACTTATTTAATACATGATCTTATACCTGCATTAACTCCGTCAATCAATTTATTACCTAAAAAAATAAATGACAAACAGTTTGCTTTCACTGGCATGAAACAATGATATATTTATTACTTCACCTTGCGATCTCTGGGTCTTAATGGCTATGACTTTTGTTGGTCACTTCCTTTGAGAATCCTGTGGAGATGAGGCTGTATAGTTACTTAAAAATTTTTCAACATCTGATTAGGACTTGAAAAATATGTTTTTGGCCATTGCTGTTTACCGCTCCTGTTTGTTATTTCTATGTGCTTTAAAATATGTTGACCAAGCTGTGGTTGTTTTGACTCCTCTGAACTTGCTGTGGCTGTCCACAAATAACTTCATTTCCTTTTTATTTCAGTTTGGTTTCCTGATGTTTGAGGCAATCCTGATGTTTTCACCACAAAGTTCACTTATCTTGTCATCCCCTCGTGCAACCAAGATCAAATTCCACTGGATTCTACAAACTGCAGCTGTGATCTTTGCACTTGGGGGCTTTGCAGCTATCTATATCAACAAGAATATGCACAACAAACCACATTTTCAAAGCTGGCATGGACTTTTTGGTTTCTGCACTGTAATCCTCATCTGTCTCCAGTCTCTCCAGGGTGTAGGTGTTTTGTACCCAAAGTGGCCTCTTGCAAGAAACCTGAAGCCACGCCAGTTGAAACAGTTGCATGCTGTTTGTGGATCTCTTGTGTTTCTTGTTGCCTGTGTTACTCTTGGTCTTGGCTTTTACTCAAACTGGTTTACAAAGAACGTTCACGTTTATGTTCAGTTCTGTAGTGTTTTGTCTTGTATGGCATTTGCAGGCATTGTTATTGGCCAGGTATATACTGAGTATGGTTTAAAGAGGCCTCTTGGAACGTAATAGTTGTTTGAATATTTAGTCTTTTTTTTGTTTTTTCCCAAATATATGAACTGGTTTTTCAGAAGCTTTTGCCTGGGATAAAAAATTTTACAAATCTAAAAAATAATGTATTCATTTTATTAAATACTTATTTAACAGCAGTGACTAACATGAGCTAGAACTAGATGCTGGTTATATTAAGTGTAGTTCCAAGCATTTTTAATTTCAGACTCATTTTTTTTAGCTGGGACTCATGATTTTTCACAAGATGAGTCCCAAGACTCACCATGACTATTTGTAACAAAATCACTGACCATGTACGGTTGGTTTGATTGATTTCCTTTTTTGAACCATCTCAGACTATAGTTGAAATGCTAGTGAAAAGTAGTATGCAGGAATAAGCAGACCTCAATTTTGCAAAATATAAATAATGCTTGCTTGATGAACTTTACTTGCATGTGATGTGTAGTGGGTGTGTGTGTTGAGGAATAGGAACCAGCTATTAATATAGCCAGCACTATCATGTTTCAGCCAAAAATGGTTGAACTTATCTCATACCTTTATCTTTATGCCAATTACAATGCTGTCATAAACACAGAGGGGTAGAAGGACATAGAAAGCTTTTAGAAAGGCAGACAAAAGCAGGAAAACAAAAAGAATGAAAAGTTTAATTTGTTGTGCAACAAGGAAGTCAACTTGGAATGGTTACAAAATTCTCTATTTCTACAGTTTTCTGCTTGCACATAGGGGTAGGGGGGTAGAAGGACATAGAAAGCTTTTACGAAGGCAGACAAAAGCAGGAAAACAAAAGGACTGAAAAGTTTAATTTGTTGTGTAACAAGGAAGTCAACTTGTAATAGTTACAAAATTCTCTATTTCTACAGTTTTCTGCTTGCACTAGACAGATACATTATCAGTTCATATTACATTCAAATCATGTGAAACTGGTAAACAGAATACCAAACAGATTTTTACCAATAGGACAATTGCATGATAAACGTCATTTTACTACACTGTACAACTACCAGAATGCTAAATGGTTTGTTGTTTTCTTGTGCAAATTAAGGCTATTGTTCTTTAAACAGCGGGATCACCAATTTTAAATAGCAAAGCAAAACCGAAATGAATTCTGGTAGTTGTAGTCAATTGCCATCATCATGAGAATGGCCTTTTGAGTACACACTGTAAATCACCTTAAACCTATCAATACTATCGTATTAGACAACATGTATACCTGTAGTTTGAATAAATACAATCCGCTGGTAACAAGCCTTGCTGTTATAAGCTGTATGTTACAATTTGCACATTATTATTCATTCAAAAATTTTGTAGTTCCTGATTGGCGTTAATCCCTTGGCTAAAACAACTTTGTTTCCAAGCAGCAGTGAGACCACACTATGAGTAGAGCCTTTGAGGCTGCCCAGCACAAACTTCTGGACTGGTCAATCTTGTTTTTTTCTCGAGTCAAAATGGTTTTTTCAAGTGTGAGCATCCATTTGTTAATTAATAAAGAATGGTCATAACTGAGCCCACTGCACCAAGCGCTAGAGTAAGGATAAGGATCTTACAATCTTAGAAATATTTTGAATGTATACTAAAACACAAGTATTAAATTCAGCTTTTGTATCATTGTGTAGTTCCAGAAAATATCCAGACCCCCACCACGGAGGGAATTTCACTTAGGACCCCCCCACCTCCCTGGATTTTCCATTTTTGCAGGGAACTGATGACCCCCCACCCCTTCGGAATTTCCACAAGTGTGACAAAGACCCCCCAACCCCTCTGGAAAAGTTCATTTTCACGAAGAAAGACTATTAAAGTAGAAGAATGAGGCAACTTATGGTTAGTACCCAACGGTTTCCATCAGAAGCTTGTATGCTTCTGTTTCCATTTATTTGAGTGATCTTGCAACATTAAAACACACTACACCACCACAAAGTAACCTGATCTGTAATTGTTGCTCATCTCTTACTTTAAATGAAAGAGAGAAAGTTAATAAGTCGATTATATTTGTGAATTTACCTTAATCAGGGCAAGCTTACGATTTATTATTCGTCTCATGGGCGTAATGTTGATAGAATTAACGCCATTTCGTGCGGGAATGCAGAACAAGTCAAACTTACGACCACAAAATTAATGCAAAACAAAGAGGAGAATAAAAACTCTGAATTCTGAAATAATAACAATGAATACCCCCTGCATCTTGAAGGTACTTGACGGGAAACCAAGTTCAATTTACTGTTTTTCGATCGACTGATGCGACGTGATGCGCGATGGCCGTATAAATGTTTGGTGAAATCGACACCATTTTAGCGGGAATTCGATCATAAAGATGCAACACGTTCAGCCACAAAATTAAGGGAAAATGAAACGGAGAATAAAAACTCAACATTCTAAAATGGTTACAATGCATAGCTTGTGCTTTGTGAAGCAAAATTGCCACTCTTCTGATCTATCAATCGACTGACGCAACGTGATGTGTTGGGTGATGTGTTGCACGCGTTGATGTGTTGAGGAAGACTGGTAACGAGTAATGGCGGCCGAATATACGAGCATGCGATAAAACGAGTTGTAGTCGGTCTAATTCCTTTGAAATTACATCCAAAACGCTTTTGGAAGAAAGGAAACCTGGTTAAGATCAAAAGGAACAATCTTAAGTCATATATTTCAAGTTATTTATGTCCTAAAAATGATCTACCAGGTCGGTAAGAAGCAATGTTCGAACTCAGGTCGAAAACGAAATGATATTGTCCCCCTAGAAAGTGATTTTATGGTCCAACCCCCCTCCCTTCGGGAATTTCCTGGGCCTCTGACCCCCCCCCACCCCCCTGGAATTTCCAATTCCCTCCGTGGTGGGGGTCTGGACATTTTCTGGAACTACACATTTGAGGAATCAAGCAGATCTTCAAGGCTGTCATCCACCTCGGCTAATGACAACCTCCTAATGTCCTTAAACTGCATCATTTATATTATTAATACTTCATAGCTTGCTTACCCTTGGGCATATTCAGTGATTCTATGGTTTTTTCAGGATAAAATACTTAACAGCCACTGGTACGAAATCTAAAGGACAGTTTGTTATGCATCTTTAAGCAAATCCTCACATTATTTTTGTATTTTAGGGTTTTGGATGAAACAACAAAAGGGTGATACATGAATGAGCTGCACTTTCTTTTGACACTGTATCTCCTGCTATCACTTGTAAAAATGAGACAAAAACAGATATTGTACTTTTGATGGTGATTACAATAAGCCAGCTTCTAAAATCAAGCACAGTGAGTCTCTTCAGTAATCTTCTCCTCTGCTGATCACTTCTTTGCAAGTGGGTCTCAGTAATATTGTGTGTTCAAACTGAGCTGTGTAACAGCCTTTAATGTCACACAGTGGTGGATATGGGTCCACAATGCCAGCATCACACAAGTTCTTTAAGGCTAGAAGGTACTTTGTCTGTGATTATTGAAACAAAAAAAAACTGATTTTAGTGATGTACATGGAGAAACCTTTTTGACATGCAGTGAAACTTTTAGCGAAAAATTCTATGATCACTCGCAATAATAATAATAATATTATTTTGGGTTTAAATTTAAAAAGATATCTATAATGTTGTAACCTTCATGAATCAGTAGGATGCCTAAAATATGTGCAATTCCACAATTGGTTTTGGCTCCATTAAATCCTATACCACTAAATAAAAACTATTGTAGAACATTTTAAGAGCTAGGAGCTACCTATGTGAGAAATAAATTTTAAAACTCTGTAATTTCTAATACATTGAACAAGCTCACACATTACCCATGGTAAATTCTTCCTATACTGAAATAGTATTGGTCTGCACATTCAATTTGGAAGTGGAAGAATGGCTTTTTTCCCCATAGTACACAGCGGCAGCAAATTTTTTCTAATGTTGTCCACTGCTTTCCCATGCTTGGCACAGTTGCCCATGCTAGTGATTTTTTTCCTTTTTCATCACTGCCATCAAGTTGCTAATAATGCTCCCTTTTTAACATAAAATAACGTAATACCTGTCCTAAGCGATCCAACCATCGTCTACAAAATGCAAGAGTCCCAAAGTTCTCATTGATGACATTGAGAAGTTGTTTGGCTCTAGGCAACCTAACAGAAAGAATGCAAAAAGGTTATCTGAGATATGATTATTCCTAAACCATACATTGCTTCAACATTGTAATTTATTCTTAAAAAAAAGTTTGCTAAAAAAATTATCATCATGTGAACACTCCATAATACAGCAGAGTTTTTACCTACCTCAAAGGAACATGTCCAACCTCAAAGTTCTTCATGTAGTGTGAACATTCCATATCATCATGAACCACACCCTTACCAGTACTGCCAAATGTCTCAATGGCAAAAAATTCATTTTCCTTATTTAAAATCAAAATAAATATAAAAACAAAGTCTTAGTACTGAAGTCTCTAATTTTTTGAGATACTATGTTAAGACATGGAGTCCAGTTTTTGCTTTGAAAGAGGACTTAAGTCAAGATTCTTATCTTGCCTCAAAAGATGAGCTTCTTCCTGAAGAATAATTCAGAATATTTTTTAAAGGGTGTCGGGTGTTTTGAAAGCCACGAAAAAGGTTTCCTAAAAATTGAAGCTCTGTCAAAAGGACAAGTAACTTGTTTACACACCTTGAATAACTAAACAAAACAAAACAACAAATTATCCAGGTCAACTTTAATGAGCAAACCTAATGATAGAGTCGGTCAGTGTCATGGGCATTTCAATGAAAACAGAGAAAATTTTCCTGCGATGTTACAGTGAGACGTACCTTGGAAGTGCGAACAAGCCACAAAACCACAAACTAATTAACGTTCTTGCTTACAGTTTAGTTTTCTCACGCCTGATTGTTTTTTTTTCTTGCACCACAATAACATTCCAGAAATATTTCTGGTGATCATGGTTTTCCTGGTTTGACTGTTAGGATCCATTTCTTCAACTCAGGGAGCAGAAGTAAAGAAGTATATACAGGCTGAGTGATATGTCTGTCACAGAAGAAACATGTAA